AAAATAATCATTTCTATTCTTCATTTGGTCTTTCTTGTAGGAAAACCTCCATATTGTGAGTTGTAGGATTTACAGAGGAACAACACAACATGACATTCATGGTTAATCAATGAGCAGAGATCTTTCCCTTAATCTGTGGCACTCCACAAATTAAAACCAATAAAAGATAGTAAATAGCAACGCTCTCATTGGCTCACCATGGCAACGCTCCCTGGCATGCTCTTTCTGTAATTTTGGCCCTTTTATAATATCTCACCACCCCACTACTCTACCAAGAGCATAGGGGACGGGAAGTAGTCACCAACAACAAATCTGTGGGATTTTACTTTGCTGGGGAGTATTTGTATTTCATATTTTAACTGGGCTGGATTGGGGAGGGCTTGTTTGTTCTTCTTTTGTGGCACATGTTTTTATCAAGTGGACTGCTTTGGTAGCCTTTCATGGAAAGGCACATAAATCAACACAAATGTAATAAGTAATTGATTGGGGAAATAAAAGTCCAAAGATCCGATTCTAGAACACAACAGTTTGGTATCCAGCCTTGGCCACAGCCAGGGACATCCCTGGGGACCAGGGGATCAAAAAAGTCAAGATGGTGGCTGCAACCATGTGATCGAAGCCCCACCCATGTAAAAAAGAGGCAGGGCTTGATCATGCAGTTGTGGATGCCATCTTGACTTTTTTGACCTTCCCCAAAGATCATGCCTGCCCATAGCCATGCCATAAAAAACATACATCAATTAGCCAAGAATCAATGTGGACCTAAGAAGAATTGAAAGCAAAAAGTCCAAGCTGAAAGGGTGGGAAGAAGACTTACGTAACAACACTGAGGTAAACATTAGGTACCGTTTAGTTCAACATGTGATCCTTCACCTGGCAGCTTGTCCGGCATAGAGCAGATGCCCCAGGAAAGCATCCCGGTGCCAGACTACATCCTGCCTGCTTCCCCTTTGCTGGCCATCCGCTCCTACTTATGGGAACACTTTAATATAGTACACCAAAAAGGGTACATGACAATAAAAAATAAGTGCAGTCTATACATTACTAATGCAAAACAAATCACATCCTGTAAAAGAGAAAAAGCCTGACCCCTGAAAAGTTTATTTGAATTAAAAGACTTCATGGTTTTTTAAGATGAGAAGCAAAAAAAATGGCAAATATTCGCAAGACAAATACAGTATCTAGCAGGAAGTCTTTGTGGTAATCAGGTCTATGCAGTTCAGATCAAAAACCACAGTGAATTCTGAATCCTATCCACTATTATGTAGACATTCAGTGTGGGGTAATGGTTAGGTTACTATGGAGACCTAGGTTTAAATCCCCAGTCACCTACAAAGCACCTAATTGTGCTAATAAAGGCTATTTAAATTATTTTTCTTTTAAACGCTGTGTTTATTAGATCATTTTGAAATATGTTTTTTTGTTTGCTTGTTTGCCTGCTGGCTGTCTAATGCCCCACTCATTAGAAGGAAACAGCACAATCCAATAATATTAACACTTAGGTTGGCAATCTGTATAAGTTACGTTAAATGTGTGATTACGTTTATCATGCATGGAAGCTTGATTGAAATCAGGATCACAACACAATCCCTTCTATCAAAATCTCCTTTGAGGAATATAAGGGCAGCAGGAGGATCAGCTATAGAAATAGGCCTGGTAACAACAGGAGAAAAGAAGGGGCAAGGAAAATCCAAATTATAGTGAGTTTATAGGTAAAGAACTCCTTCAAGTGTATTTCTTAGGCTGATTATACTTCTCATTTCATCTCAAATTTCAGAGCTTGAAAAACACCATTGAGCAAAGTGATGTTAGCTAGTGGAAAACCCACAATTTAAAGGTATCATCATGGAGGTGTGCAAAATACATTACTCTGCTATTCTTGAACCATTCTTGCTCTACACATGCGTGCCTTCCTAGTGCTGTTTTTTGCCTAATGAAGTGAGGTTCTGTTTGCCAGTTTTGTCAATGCAGCAGCACATTATTTTTTCACTTTTCATTCACCTGCCCCCCCCCCAAAACAGTGGAATATAATATCCAAAGTTCTTGTCACAGACAGCTATTACAAATGCAAACAATCCTAACAGCTTAATGTAAGAATTGTATATGAACGTTATGCATATGTGTATAATTATTCATATGTATATATCCTCTGAAGATGAATGATATTTTCACTGCAACAGTAGCTATTTATAATCTGAAGAGGAAGAAAGTGCCAATTCCTCTATTCCACAGAGAAGTGTAGTGTACACCAGATATGTCTTAATCCTCATGTCCTTTACTTTCGTTTACCAAAAAAAGCCCACAGTAACTTAAAGAATTTGCTTTTGACTTCTTTAAGAATCCAACTTCTGGTGAAGAATTCTCTGTCATGAAACATTATAGTATCTTCATTTTCCATCAACAATTACCTGATGCAGCAAGCATTTTAGTTTCAAGAAGAGCTGGAAGTTGAATCTCAATATGTCTCATTTTTTTCCTTAACGTACTGCAGAACTTCTGACTAGTACATACCTAGATGGAGACAGGCAGCCTTGATATGGAATTCATTCATATAAAAACATAAGGAGATACAAAGGCATGTCGGGTTGTCTTGGTTACAGACATGTATCATTTCAATAAGACAATCAAGATGAATAGGAAATAATGGGCAACTTTGCGGCAAGTCATTTACCCCCACAGTTGTACAGCTTTCCAACATAAACAGCACTTTCATTAGCAATGGGCAAAACAAAGAAAAAATAATCACGAAGAAAGCAGAGAAGCAGATATTGTGGGATCACATGTCAGACAAAAGGCCAAAGCTGGTAAATCACCCAGATGTCTGAACTTTCTGTAAATATCTTGTTAATTGTCAGTAACTGCTGAATGAGAATGTGTTGTGCTTCAGATCTAAAGTTTAAAAAGTGCTTCAGAACAGGCATGGGTGTGCTCTCAGCACTTCCTTAACTCAACCTCCGGACTCAGATGCATATTTTCCTAAGATCGTGCAGCTACTAAGCAAGCCCAGGAAAGATGCACCTTTTTTCAGAAGGCCCCAGCAGGTGCACACCTAGCCCTGCTCCTATGGGCATGAATCTAAAGCACACCACTTCCCTGCTTTTGAAGATCAAAATAAATAAAGACTTGAACCAGACTGGCAACTTAGCCCTACTCTTTACTTTCATGCCATGATGGAACTACTAGAATAGCATCTTGTTCCAAGACGTACTGGGCACAGCTGTGCTAATATTTCTTAAATCAGAGTCCATATTTCTCACTAGTGCAAATCTTTGTTTGTTTGTTTGTTTGTTTATATATCAAATTTGTCACCGCCCATCTCATAGAAACGACTCTGGCTGGTTTATGAAACAGTTAGAATCAATTAAAATTACAAAATTATGATAATAAATAGAAAATAAATAGATCCAAGAATAATTGGCAGTCACTCAGGGAGCGTCATCACGGTGCTAGCCACCCCCAGGATTGGGTAAGGTTGTTATCACCCCATGCAAGCTGGCAGAGCCAGGTCTTTAATTCTTTCCAGAAGGCCAGGAGGTTAGGGGCCTGCCGCACATCTGGGGGGAGAATGTTCCAAAGGGCGGGGGCAACGGCAGAGAAGACTTTCCTCCTGGGCCCTGCCAGCCAACATTGTCTTGCTGATGGGATCTGCAACATGCCCTCTCTGTCTGACCAGGTGGGACGGGTTGATGTGACGGGGGTGAGACAGTCCCTCAGGTAACCTGGACCCATGCCATGTAGGGCTTTAAAGGTGATAACCAACACTTCGAATTGGACCTGGAAGCAGATTGGGACCCAATGAAGCTTGCTTTGTAAAGGTGCTATATGTGCCATTCTTGGGGCACTCAAAATTGCCCGCGCAGCCACATTTTGGACCAGCTATAGCTTCCAGATACTCTACAAAGGTAGCCCCATGTAGAGCGCATTGCAACAGTCTAGCTGAGAGATGCTAGGAGACAGCTAAATTCAGCTGGCCCTTAGGAAGTAGTATAAGGTGCTTTTGTAGTTAAAAAAAACTGAATGTAAGTGGCTCAGTACTTATCAGTTTGAAATTAAAATGCAGCCCCCCAAAATAAGACAAGGAGTAATATCTGAACCAAAGGCTTGATGGAACAAATGGTTTTTATCGCCTTACCAAAGAAGAATAATTGTGGCTCTCTGTATCCCAGGGCAATATGCTCCTAATGTGGGGGTTGCTACAAAGTAAATATATCTCTGGGTCCCCACTCCTTTCAACTCATGAAGGGTGGGGACCCTCAACAGCCTGTCTCAGATCAGGCTGAGTCTAGCAAGGAGATAAATCCAAGGGCTAAGCTATGCAGGATTTTATAGGTTAGAACCAGCATCTTGGATTAGACCTGAAAGCCTGCTGACAACCATTGCAATGAGCCAAAGGCAAGTATCATCTACTAGACAAGTGATGGCGAACCTATGATACATGTGTCAACCACCACAACATTTTGGGTGACACGCCAGTGTTCACCAACACCTGACAGCTATTCTCCCTGTTTGAGTTACCAAAGAAACTGAGTTTGTTTTACTCATATTTCATTTTTGTAATTATTTGACATTTTTTTATATAATATACAGCACCACACATGATGGGACTGTATTTTTTTTTAAATAAATGAATATGTAAAGAATTGGTTCTCTTTTGTTCGGGGGAGGTGACATGCCAGCAGAGTTAGGCATTTTCCAAATTTTTGACACACCCAGCCCAAAAGGTTCGCCATCATTGTACTAAACCAACTCTTTCTAGTTAGTAGTTGGGCTGTTGCATTTTGTATCATCAATTGCAGCTTACTCAATCATTTTGAGTAAGGACAGCCCCATGTAAAACATGTTACAGTAACCTAAATGTAAGGTCACCAAATCTGATATTCAAAAAGAAGAATCTGCTAGGCCTTTCTTAAGGCAGATTGCTGCTTTTCGCCAATGTACAGTAACTCATTGACTCATTAGTTCCTCAAATACACAGGGAAAAGTAACAGTTTAATTGTACTTACTTTGGCAGCAGTATCTGTCATGGACATATTGAGTGACTGCTCTTTTTCTTGAAGCCTAGAAATAATAAATTAGTATTAAATTGGTATTAAAATCTGATAGTATTTATTAATATATCACACATATATTCAGAAGCACCACCAACTTCAGCTAAACTTTTTACTTTTTAATAAGTTCATGGCATTACCAGCAACCTTAAGAACTTGACATTATTGACAATGTTCTTATTTCAGTCATTGCAGAGTTTGGCTAGTTTCTGGTAGAGCAAAGGAGGGAAGCAGGTCACACAGATTGCAAGATTCAGAGTCAGAAGCTGATGAAACAGGTACATCTATACCTGGGCAGCCTTCACATGCATGCATAGCCACACACATCCCTCTCCTGTCTCTTCCCAACAAGACACACCTGATCATGGGCTTCTGCTGCCCCTAGGAACCCAATCGCTAGTGATCAATGGCTGCTCATCATCTGATTGATGGTTTAGTAAAGACTGCTTTGTTTCTTGTCATTAATGGCAGCAAAAATGGGGATGACTTTCCTGCTAGTCATGCTGATCACCTGGTCAATGGGAAAAGGCTCCCCAGTAGTAAGAGTTGCACTTTTTCTGACCAAGTGATACAGCAGCCCTTTGGTTGCAGCTTACCTACAATACAATAGTGTCAGCCTCGCAAGTTAGTTCAGGCAAGAAGCACACCCAGAAGTACTAGCTCTAACTTTACTGTAAGGTTACATCAACAGAATCTTGCAAGTCCGAAAGTACATCTCTCCCCGCTTGCCTTTACAGTCTAAGAAAATAGGGAGGGTCCCTTCTGAGATGTTTGCCACGCCTCCATTCCTTCTGCGGGCTCAGCTGCCTCTTATCTGACCATTGTCTAGTCTGTGGTGCTGCCTCCTGTCTCACAAGGTCATTCCCACATACCATTACAGATAGGGAATAATTTGGCAGCCTTTTCTGCTGTTTCAAGCTCTTTAAAGGAAAAGCAGGATAAAAAGGCAATGAAAGCCAAAGCCATGGTAATAACTCACTGTGTGGGGCAAAGCTAGAAAGCAGCAATTTACTCTCCTCTGATCACATACAATCCCTGTCCTCCCTAATCAAGATTTTTTCCCTATCCTAGAGCCACTAGAAATCATACCAACCTAATAGCAGGGGGAAGGAGAAGTAAGCAAAAGTGTAGGGACCATCATACTTCTTCTTCTCCCCACCCCACATATACTGTCAGGCTTTTTGGCAGCTGCCCCAAAATGAAAGTGATTTTTTTCCATGCACAAGTTCTCCTTAGCAAGATTTATTGAGATGAATAGGATGAGGATATAAGGATTTCAGCAACTAAATTATTTTCAATTTAGAACTAATATATTCCCCTATAGATTATGGTAGAGACTTTTGGATTTTGTTTTACAGCCTTCCTATAATGCAGCAAGGAGGCTTTCTCTATAGTGGTAACAGGGAAGCTTGTCACTGGCTGTTTTTATAAAGGTCACCTGAAATCTTTATCAATCTGGGAACCAACTTTTGCATATACTAAATAACGCAACTATAAGCAGTTGGTGAATGGGAAGAGACTGGTGAAGACTGAGAAAGGGATTGGACTTTACTTATCAAGAGACTCCAGAATGGGAATGAGGACTCTTGATTCTACCAGAGACTTGAAATCTTTCGCCAAATGTCATTAAAAGGCATGACCTTCAAAATAGATCTAATCCAACTCCTTTGAAAGAAGACAAGTTCAATACTCCAGGGGATTCTCTCTGCTGAAACTTACTTCAATGAAAAGTATATAGCAAAATTCTATTAAGAACGAAATGATTTCTTTGCCCTTCAGCAACACGACGTGAATCCATCAGGGCATCAAGTAATTCCTTGGCACTTTCAGTTTCTACCTGTGAATCTCTTGCATTTTCTCATATTTTAACAAGAAAACTGTTTAACTATAGTACCATTTGGTCTATTTTTGTACCTTACTGATTAAATAATAACAAAAAGACTTGTTGGATAAATTATATCTTGTGAATAAACAGAAAACATGGGGGTGGGGGGAACCCACTCTAGGCTCAATACCAGAGTATTCACTTTTGCTATCAATCACTACTGCATAGATTAAGGAGTAGCTTTTTAAGATTATATTGTTGTTATTCATCATCATCATCATCATCATCATCATCATCATCATCATCATCATGTTTTTGTTATTCTTCCCCCAGGCCTTTGGCAAGGGATAATGAGACCCCTCGCTTCATTGGGCTTGCCATCTTTTATCTATCTTTTATTGATTTCATTGTAATTTCTTTGATTACTATAAGCCAGAGTCACTGAAAGTTGGGCAGCATACAAATTTAATACATTATTAAATTAAATAATGTATTTTGATGAATATTGTATCATTTTGACTCCTTGAAGAGATGAAGTGAAAAATAACAAAAATGTATTTGGGTTCCTAAATTTAAGCAAGATTCTGTGAGTCAGTGATTTTCTAGATAAATTCGGGATACAGAAGAAAATATCAGGGTATTGTGTTCTGTGTTTCAGATGTCAGTAGTAACATGGGCATCTTAAAAGGTGCTGAGAGCACAAGAAATGTCTCCTGAGGACTTCCACATGCAGCATTCCTATGGCTCCCAGACTGGCTCTGCACTCATTTGACTCCATACCTCCATCTCTGTTGGGCAGCTGAAGCCATTTATTTCCTGCTGCCTTTCAGGTGGAAAAACACATGGCATTTTCCAGTGGAAGCACTGGACTTCTGTCACTCGTTGGCATGAGCCTTCTCCTCCACTAACAGAGTAAGCCACTTTGTATCATACTAGCTCCCCACAGTTCATTTTAAATGATCAGTACAAGGAGCAGCTTGGTGGCTTGGCACCCCTTTGCAAGCGCCGGATGTCAAAGAGGCACAAGGGGAACGCCACTAGACTAGCTGATGTGGCATATCAAGTAGCAGTGAGAACACCACTGATGGGTTTTAAATTATTTTACAGGATTTCAGGGTGAAAATTGCAGCTTTTGGAAATATCCTTTGAATTCCCAGATCAAGAAGTGACCGATAGGAAATATTTAAAAAATGTTTACAATAAAATTAAAAGTGCAAATAATAGTTTGCATATCATTCTCCAAGTTAAAGTTATGGGTGCTATTGACTGTTTATTGTATATACCCTTTTCTCTTACTCATGTTCAGAGCTGGATGGGGGTTTTTTCCCTAGAAAATCTGTCCAGATTTAAGTACTTGTGGCTATTTCAATTGATATAGCATGCGCAGAGAATAATTGCAGAGAATATTCTTTTCTTTTTTCTGCCGTTCAAAGATTATTGGTTCCCTATGGGATGTATCCGTGTTGGTCTAGTTGCTTCACAGTGTGATGAATTAGGTATGCAAGTCATGTATCAAAGTCATTAAATCAAACAAAAAATAGAGCATCCAAAAGTTGAACAAATGGAGCTGGGGAGGAAGGGAGCTTAAAGACACTTATTAGTATATGTCTTGATGGAGAATGCAGTGGCTTCAAAGGAAAGGCAAAACGGTCAACATTACTGTGCTTCAACATGAATTAGCAAAAACAGAAACAATCACATCTCAAGGACAAGTTAACAGAAAAGACAACTGCAAAGCCCTATTAAACAAAGAGAGAGATGACAGCAAGCTATCAAGGAAAACAGTTGCAGAGAGTTCTTGCAGAAAGAGAAAGCCACAAAAATTGAATACAGCTCTAACTGCCTGAATATTCCAAACATATGGCCATGCAATGTTTGGGCTAGAAACATCACTACATGTCTAGCAGCAGAGAAAAGACATTATTTTCTTGTTTGGTGACTACTATACTCCCAAACTTGAAACTACTGTCAAGGCATAAAAGTATGTGTTCAGTGTGTTTGGATGGGCCAATCCTCATATCCCCATACTATCCATGCCCCAAATCTACATACAGTGTATGAAAATGGAACAAAAAGGAGGTTGTTGGAGGGGTTCCAATAGAATTTCATTTTCAAGTGTTATAACGTTTATTAATTGAATTGCTAGGTGCCTACCTCTAAAGCAATATTGGGTAGCTTCACTGGGTGTTTTGTGTGTGCTTTTAAGTCAGTCCTCATTCCTGACAACTGCCTGGACTGATCTCTTCCATTTGCTGGGCAAGATTTTCAGAAGTGGTTTCTACTTTTTACATCCAAACAGAGCAAGTTCCCCCTCACTAAACGAAGGAGTGTGTTTTGTATGAGTAATACCTTTTGGATCACTGCTGCTGATGTACTTTGAAGAGCTGTATTGTTTGGAGTATTGCCAGCATTCTTAAACGTTGATTCAAAAAGTTAGCTGTGTTTGGTCTTTGTATGTTGCGTCAATTTGTTTTACCACAAGGTAGCACAGTTAGGGGAAAAATGAAGTAACGATATCTTCCTCTATGCATATAATATGGGGGCCTTGGTTGCATTTGAAAATACAATCAAGTTTTCTCAACCACAAGGAGATTGCTCAGTGCAGGACAGCCAAGTCAAGACCTGTTCTCTCTCACTCCTAAGACATGGAATAATGGATTTAAGCTACAGGAAAGCATATTCTGATTGCATGCTTTAAAAAAAACAAAACACTTTTTAACAATGCAAGTAGTCCTTGCTTAATGATGGTAATTGGGACTGGAATTTCCATCACTAAGCAATGCAGTCAAAAACTGTGATGTCACATGACCACATTGTTTAGTGACAGCAATCCCAGCAGTTCCCATTGCCATCTTTAAGCGAGGATCACGTGTTGTTAAGTGAGCACCTCCTCTCAATTTCCTGCTGGCTTCCAACAAGCAAAGTCAATGGGGAAGCCAGCAGGAAGTCGCAAGTCCCAGGAAGTTTGCAAGCAGGCTGGCAGGCAGGCAGGTGGCTGCTGCAGTGAGGTGTGAACATGGTGGGGCTGGGGATGGCTGCTGCTGTGTGAGGGAGGGTGCACAGGTGCCCACCTCTCTGGGATCTTGTACTCCGTAGTCAGGCCCCTCGGGAGAAAAAGCCACAAGAGTTCGAGTGACTTACAGGAGCATCTTGCGACCTTCCCTGCCAGCTTCCCCATTGACTTTGCTTGTTGCTGCAACTGTCATAAGTGCAAGCTAGTTGCCAAGTGCCTGGATCATGATCACGTGACTGTGGGGGTGCTGGGATGCCTGGAATTTCAAAGACTGGTTGTAAGTACCGCTCATTCAGCGCTGCTGAATCTTCAAATGGTCGCTGAACGAGTGGTTGTTAACCAAATACTACCTGTAAGAGCTGTTTGATGATAGAAACAGTTTCCCAGAGAGATAGTGGGCAACTCTTCATTGCATGGATCCAAGTGAAGGCTAGACAGACATCTACCTGGGATAATTTAACTTGGGTTACTGTACTGAGTAGGGGGTTTGACTCAGTGGCCTAATGGACCCTTCTAACTCTAGGATTCTATTATTCTAATAAATGAATGATTTCACGGGGTTACCAGTAAAGAAAACTCAATTCCAGATAAAACATAATTTGACATCAATATTACTCCAATGCATACAACAATTTTCTGAGAATTGGAATCTAAAATTAAAGACTATATTTCTCCTATATATGTTACTGCATTAAATGTAGCACCCTAAAAATTGACAATGAAAAATATGAGGCAAAAGAATAAGTCAGAGTTTATCAAAAAAAAATAATAATCCACAAAATGAGTACCTTTTGACAGATTCCGAAAAATCCAACCTGCATGGAATTTTATGGGAGGCTGCCAAAATATCAGCCAAGGCTTTGCCTATTGTTTGCAGTTCTTTGAGTGATACCCAGCTGAGCAAAGTAGACAGTTCATAATCCTGGTCCTGAATGAGGCAATCTTGTTCTTGAATTTCTATCCTTAACTGTTGATCTTTAGCTTCCAGAACAACCAGCTTTGCTCTAAGAACTTCAATTTCTTTCTGCATGGAGAAGGAATATACTATATATCTTTATCATAGAAAAAACTGATCAATGAATGATACAGAATGTGTAAGAGAAACTCAAATCTTTTTCACATACACTTGAGCTACATGAGACCACATTGCTGTCCCATATGACTGGAAAGCATTTACAGATCAGGCCAATCAATCAAATCAGCCCTCTTCACCTGATGGGCAGTATGTACTGCCAGATGGCACAAGACTCTGAGACAAAAATCCAAATCCATAATCAAATCATGCTTTTAAAATGACACAACAGATTGTGTAAATATTCAGATTCACCATCAAGCCAAGGAGTTCATAAATGATTCAACAATCCTTTAAAGGACCAAAATTGCACTTCTGCTGACTGAATTTAACACTGCTGGGTATTGTTAATGCAAAATCCACTAATTTTTATAAGGACTTCTGTGTGGCCTACTTTTTTAGGACTGTAGATTATTTGTTATATAAATAACAAGATAAAAGTCATGAATTCAAAGTAGCAACAGGCAGTTACTCTGAAAAAGCACATTGTTGAAGTCACGCCAAATCTTAAAACCTAATTTAACTTTGCAGTTATACTCAGTATCTCAGGATGAACCACTTTCATTCTTTATTCAATGAACTGGCTGAAGAAATTCAATTTACGCTTATGTAGCCTCAGATATATGCTATTTATTCTCCTGCCTGTAAGATTCAGCAGGAAGAGAACAGACTAGCTAATGCTTCAACATCTGTCAGGGAGATAACAGAGGTCATCAGGACAACATCAGGTCTGCTACTTTGAGTCTAAAATCAGGCTTGTAACACAAACAATTCATTCTCTGTACTATCAATCTGGGAATTCTGTCAGAAATTCAATAATCTTCAGTTAATAGAAAATATATTTATAAACCCTACTGTGCTTATTTTTATGAGCTAAAAAGCTATGGTTACAGTTGAACATCCAATAATGATTAGGTGATGATAATCATTATTCATGTCAAAAAAGGAAGAAAATGTAGGATTCTGTGGCTCATGATGAAGGGCAGACAATGCACTGGCCATCAGACCAATAGATAAACTGATATTTATTTGTTTGTTTATTTTGCGGTTTCTTTTTCTTCAATAACAAAAAAAAACCCTGAAATTCCATCTGTATTTTTAAATACTCATTTATTAAAACATAAGCTTATATTTTGAATCAATTCTTCTAGCTTAAATTTATTGTTAATGAACTTTAAGATACTGCCAATTCTGCCAGAAGAATAGAAAGGTGATTGCTGTTGTAGAAGCTATGCTGGTGGTAACAATACCATTTTGATAAGAATCTTTCCACTAATTTTCAAATAATTAATGAATAACAAACACAATAGATCAAATTTAACAAAAAGTAGTCAAGCAATATTCAACCCCCCTCCCGCTTCCCTTATTAGCTAATTACTGATTGCCAACTGAATTTAGGGAAAATAAATAAATAATATCTCAAAAGGTAGCAGCATCTGGTTGACCTTATCTAGTCTCCAAAACAAAGAAAGTTTGGTTTGGTTAGTACTTGGATGAAGCTTAGCAGAGAATCCCAAGGCTCAATCAATCAAAGTTCAATCAACCAATCCCAAGGTTTTTGGGTGCTTGTAGGCTAGGGTAGGAAATTGAAGAACATCCCAGAAGGGGAGGGCGGAGCTGGCGTCGCGGCGATACGGCGGGCAATCCTGGGCTCCCAGGATCGCAGCTGATATCTCCTCCCCCGGACGGTCCCGATGGACCTAAGCCGTTCCGTAGAGATGGCGAATGCAAAGGGCGCGTCCCGCGGATCTCAGGGA